CTTTGTGAAGCAAAAGGGAATATACAGAAAATTTTGGGTTTTTTGTTTTATTTTTTTGAGACAGGGTCTTACTATATATATGGCTAATGCTGGCCTCAAATTTGTAATCCTCCTTCCTTGGCTTCCTGAGTGCTGGGAGATTATGGGTATGTACCACCATACCTAGCAGAAATACACTAAAATTTTACTTGCATTCTTTGTAGTTTATAGAACAAAATAAACTACAAAAGAATTAATTAAATTCTTTTGAATTTAACTAATACTGAAGTTATGATATTGCTAGTACTCTTCTGTTAGTCTCTTTTTGGCTTTATCTCTTTTGTTTCTTATTTCTTAATGAGAAACATTGTATTGGGATCATTACATAGAAAAAATTCCCTTGGGGGCTAGAAAGCAAGAAGTGGGTTAACTGAGTTTTATTATGATTTACTTAGAAATTTCACTTAAACACTAACGATATCATTTAAAGTTTGTGTTGTACTTTTATTCTTTTTAGAGAATTTTTGCATATATTACTTAAAATGTTTAAAAACACAAGAATTAATAAAGAATGGAATATGTAGATTAAGGAGAAAATAGGATATGATAGAAGAAGAATACCCAGACATAGATGTTCTTGAATGATAACTATTTTATACCATTTAAAAATTTCATGAAGGCTTTTAAAGCCTCCTCCCTTCCTTTCTTCTTCCCTTCTTTCCTTCCTCCCTTTCTCTCTCTCTCTCTCTCTCTCTCTCTCTCTCTCTCTCTCTCTCTCTCTTTCCTTTGGCATCTATGGGCACAAATGCCATGTTTGCTTTAGAATTTATGTTTGAAATTTAATGAAGAACTGAATATGGCTTAGGAACTGGAATTTTTACATCTTTACCCTTTAGACCCATGGGATTTTAAGCCAGTCCCTTTCATGATTTCATTTTTGTAATTCAACAAATTATAAATACAGGAAGAAAAAATGAGAAGAAGAGGATGTGACATCTCAATTACTATAGAGGGAGTAATTGTAGCCATTAAAAAAAATAGTTAAGGACTGGGGATATAGCCCTAGTGGTAGAGCAATTGCTCAGCATTCACAAGCCCCTAGGTTTGATCCCTTTGGAGGGGGTAGAATTTTGAACTGGAAATTCTAACCCAATGCAATCACTTCATTCTGAAAAATGAAGAGACATTTAGCACTGTAACAATAGCAATATTTCTTTCTATTTTGCAGTTTTATTTGAATGAGCATATGCATTATATAGTCTATTTAATTTCCTTCATATGAGTTTATCCCTGCTCTTCTTAGAGTAAGAGAACATTATGTACTCAGCACTGCTATTTATACACAGGACATTCTTCATACTATTACTTCTTACTCTTTTTTAGTGTAGCTCATATGAAATAAGAGAAGAAAATGTTGCTTATGTTGTATGGAACCAGAAAGGAAATAAAGGATGCATCAACTTTATGAAATATTTCAAAATATAAATTTTATCTTTTAAGTTTATAACTATCAGAGAATCTAATTCAAAAGAAAATTATTGTCAGTATTGTATGTAAGTTGACCTAATTGTAATTAGAGAGTGTCTCAGAATCTTTTAGGTTAAGAAAAGTTTCCAAGGATAGATTATATTCACTGTGATAATTTTCTATAAATAGTTTATGTTTATCTGCATGCAATAGCCAGGTCATTCATCACTGTGACTTTGAGGTGCTGAGCTCTTAATACAGATGGAATAATTTAAAACACTTTTTTCCTGTGAAGCTATGACCGCATTAATGTACTTTGGAAAAATTGAAAAATAGAAAAAAGAATCTGAGGAAAACATTTATCATTAGTCCTACCATCCAGAAATAAGTGTTAACTATTTAACTTAAACTATTGGCAGGAGCCATGGTGGTTAAATGAAATGCCTAGTTGTTTTTTCTTCCCTCATTTATAGCTGGCAAGTTAGACCTTCCTCCGTGCTATGTGCTCATCAAGTTGCTTTATAGCAAACAGTCTCAGATTACATAAATCTTTAAGTTTTATTTTATTGTTCTCATCTTTCAAGATTTCCTTTGGGTTTTATTTTTATAACTTGATATGTTGAATAGTCCTTCTAGATTTTTATATTCTGTATCAGCATTCTTTGAGTATTATTTTAACCAGCTATGAATTTAACTGACTTCTTACTATGGAGCTCACATTTTCCATCTTTCTCATAAATCAAAGAAAGAAAGGCTAATTTGAGTTGAGAAACCTTTAGATTTTGCAGACTGGGAGTTGAGCCTGTTTTTCTTTAGGTTTCTTATCTTAGATCTAATTACTTCACACAGTAATTTTGGACCTGGGTTCCTATTTTGTGTCAGAAACACATGTATTCATGCCTACTTCCCTGCCCATGGGCTAGATTAAGGTCTGGAGAGGGTTTCTGAGGGTTGTTCAAATGTTGAGTCAGGATTGTACTCAATATTTTCCTCTTGTCAGTTAGATTGTCATCTTCTCCCAGTGGCCAGTACTACTTCCTCATGGATGAATGGAAAGAGCCTCACCTCCTGTCTCAATATCATGAGTTTAGAGGGTGGGAAATTGTGGTCTGATAACTTTTGTTTTCATCTTTCTTAATGCCTGAAATTCCCACTGTTAAAAGTTACTCCTGTTTGTTAAAAGTATTGATCTTCGTTGGGCTGGAGGTTTGGCTCAAGCAGTAGAGTGCCTGCTTTGCAAGTGTGAAGCCCTGAGTTCAAACTCCAGTCCCACCAAAAAAAAAGAAAAAAAAAACTTATAAAAAGTACTGTTCTTTCTTGAAATAAAAATCTGAGATTTGTAATAATATACATAGTAATCCATTATGTTGAGCAGATTGTTGCAATTAGGATTGGAAATCAGACTAGTATTTAAAAAATATTTATTAACTTAAAATAATGAGCCAGGCAAGGTGATGTGTATGTGTAGATTCAGCTACTTGGGAGGCTAAGGGGAGAGGATCACTTGAGCCCCTCAGTTCAAGACCAGCCTGGATAAGATAGCAAGACTTTGTCAAACTAACTAACAGAAACTCATACTAACTGTTGAATAAGTAGAAAAAAAAAATTTAAAAAATCCTCTCTAAACATTGGTATTCTAGCAGATTTTTTTTTTTCTTTTTGCAGTAGTGGGGTTTGTTTTTACCCATGTGGTACTGTGTGCTATAATCTATTTGCCTAATCCTCTTCTGTTAGAAGTCTGGTACTTGCTAGGCAGGTACTCTACCACTTGAGCCTTGCTCTCAGCCTGGTATTTCTGGTATTTATGCATAGTGTATCTTAATGGTTGCATGTTATATGCACTCCTCTATAGCTTGCTTTTTTCACTGATTTATTATTAATTTTTTTGGTAGTACTGAGGTTTGAACTCAGGGCTTCAAGTTTGCAAAGCAGGCGGTCTGCCGCTTGAACCACACCTCTAGTCCATCACTGATTGTTTTGAACATCTATAACAAGAATTATATTAATAGATTTTATGTATGTTGTCAATACTTCAGTGGTTTCATATTCTATGTGCTATCTTATGCAAAAGGAAAGTGTTAGATTTCCAGCAGAAGAGGATTGGGCAAATGGGTTATAGCACTTGTGCATCAGATGAGGTAAAACAATGGCTAGAATGCTACATTTCTTATGATCAGATAGACATTCAAAAGGCATAAATAATGGCTAGGTTTTTCTTAGTTTTAATAATACTTCCTTCACTTATTGGGGATTGAATTGGGGGCCTCACACTTGTTAGGCAAATGCTCTACCACTAGAGCCACACCCCCCAGTTCTTTGGTTTTCAGGTGGGGTCTCAGGCTAACTTTGCTGCTACTGGCTTCAAACTGTCATCCTCCTACATCTACTTCCCACCATGCCTGGCTTGTTTTTGTGATAAGAGTCTTGATAACTTTTTTTCCTGGGCTGTCCTCCAATTTCAGTCCTCTTATCTCCACCTCCCAAGTAGCTGGAATTACAGATATGGAGGAGGATTATGAGTTCAAGGCCAATCTAAGCTACATAGTGAGACCCTGTCTTAAATCTCCCTCCCCCCGCCAAAAAAAAAATGCTTATAACCTTTAGCCAGAGACAGAAAACCCTGAGTTATGCTTTGAAGGTAACAGAGTTTTTCCAGCAATATTTTAAGAAAATTAAAAATGATCACCTATACCCAGGGCTGACTCCTCAAGAGGTACACTTGCAGCTTTACCTGGGTTTTGAAGTGACAGACTTCTGCCTGTATTCCTTTTCCCTCTGCATGGTCTCATCTGGCTAGCTTTCCCATTTTATTATTGTACTGGGTCAGCATCCTCTAAGACAGCCTTATACCACCCTAAGGTATTTTCCTGGCATATATATTATATCTGCCCAGGAACCAATTATTGCTTTTGTTACTTCTTTGGTTAGAAACTAGAATAGGTTGTGAATGGTTGCTCCTTACCCGCCCCCTGTAATCTGTGTTATATTTAGTGGGAGGTGTTTTAGGGATGTATATATCACATGGGAACAAAAATACTTGAATTTTTTTCCTAAGCATATTTTATTATTATTTTTAACTGTTCAACTTCTAGTATGTTGTGCTTATTTTTGAGAATTTGATTTCTTGAGCTCATTTTCTCTTAGACTCTATGAAGCTTTTTCTCTCTTTGTTGTTTGGGTCCTCTCTTCTTTCCTTCCTTCCTGTGTTAAGCCCTTCTACCCCCTTTGGCCACTTTGTGGGTTTAGTGTTATTTATATAAGGTTATAAAAATTTTCATTTTGCCCTCTTGGGATTCTTAAGAGTCTTCTTCCCTTTGAAGTACAGATTAAGTTTAAGAGTTCTTATATTTTAATACTAAGGAAATTTAGCTATATATTTTAATAAAAATGAGCAGCATAAAAATATTTTTTATTATACCAGATATGTAAAAGTGAAATATGTTGATTAACAGAATATAAGCATGCATATATTATAAGCACATTTATATTTATATAAAATGTATAATATAATGTTATGAATATGACTATATAATACTGATTTTATTTTCCTTTAGGAGGATCAGGATGGGAGTCAAGGCCTAGGCAAGAGAAAGAGGGTAAAATTAAGCAGTGGCACCAAAGGTATTTATCTTCTGATTTGTCATTAAGCACAGTGCTTCCAAAAAAGAATCACTAATACGGGTTGAGGGCATGGCTCAAGCAGTTGAGTGCTTGCCTAGTAAGGGTGAGGCCCTGCGTTCAAATCACAGTCCCACAAACAAGAATCACTAGGAAAACTTGACTAGCTGTGGTGACATCAAAACTGTTTTAAGGGAGAGTTAATGTTATGAGGTTTATCTAATGATGAAGAAAATATTGTTGGGAGGTAGTTGTGGGAACCTCAAAAATAAACTCTTACTATTGGGATTTTATTTATTACTTTCCTTATAATGCATTATCCTAGTAGAGCCATACTATAGTCTTTTCATTGACTGATTGACTTGGATCCAGTGTTTTTGGTGTGAAGTTAGTTGTTTATATCCTTTTGTAATCTAGGGTATGCAATTTCTTTTTTTTTTTTTCTTTCTTATAATCACTGTTTTTTGGTATTTGTTTTTATTTTTATTTTTATTTATTTTATTTTTTATTTTTTTCATTTTTCTTTTATTATTCATATGTGCATACAAGGCTTGGTTCATTTCTCCCCCCTGCCCCCACCCCCTCCCTTACCACCCACTCCACCCCCTCCCGCTCCCCCCCCTCAATACCCAGCAGAAACTATTTTGCCCTTATCTCTAATTTTGTTGTAGAGAGAGTATAAGCAATAATAGGAAGGAACAAGGGGTTTTGCTGGTTGAGATAAGGATAGCTATACAGAGCATTGACTCACATTGATTTCCTGTGCATGGGTGTTACCTTCTAGGTTAATTCTTTTTGATCTAACCTTTTCTCTAGTACCTGTTCCCCTTTTCCTAAAGGGTATGCAATTTCTTAAAAAAATTTTTTTTGTGGTGTTGGGGTTTGAAATCAGGACTTTGGACTTGCTAGGCAGAAGCTCTACTACTTGAACCATGTCTCCAGCCCCGGGCTATGTAATTTTTATAGTGAGAAAAAGAGAGTGAGGGGGCACAGGTACTTAACATATGTAAGGACTCATACATGTTTACTCAAAGGAGGGAGCAGATAGGGCTGTAATGAGGGAAGAGATTGGTAATAATAATGAGTAATATTTATTGAGCCTTTTGTATGTGCTAGACAATACTAAGTATTCACTGCATTACTTAATTCTCAAAATAACCTTGTGAAGCAGGTTTTATTAATATTACTACCATGTTATGAATGAGGAAATGGAGGTATGTTAGAGATCACAATTGAGAAGTAGATCTTTTAACTCAAGTTGCACAGCCTAAGCTTTTACCAACTGTGTTTTCTTGATCCTTACTAAAAACTTTTCTAGAGTACTTGTTATTAGTTTGTAGTCTAAGCTTTGGATTTTTGCCATGGGTTTCCAAATTTTAACATTGTTGGTCTTTTTTCTGGTTTAGTTGTTTGCTAGAGAATGTCCGAGATTAAAATACTATTTTGATTCAAGAAAATTCTTACTTCTGCTGCTAGTTAATGTATCTAGTGGTATATTTAGGGCTGTCTGGAAAGAAGCATGTGGGCACTTTCATTATAGGTTTCTTTTCTAAGTCTATTCTAGTTACTTACGCTCATGTATTTAATTTATTGGATGTTGGCAGAGTATGAAATTCGATCTGAGGTTCAGTACACAAACATGTCCAGGTTTCCCTTCTTTCTGGCTCAGCATAGAGCCTGAAGGACATTAGAAACTCATATGGCTGCTTAACCCTTCGACTTACCAGAATTGTCCATATATTTACTTGTGTCCTTGTGACTCATCTGAGTTGGAACAGATTGTTAGACACATACTTGAAATTAAGCCTTAGTGATGCCCAGAAACTGCTGTTGTGGTGTAAGAGGCCCATTGTTTTCCCTTAGCCTGGTCACTCTAACTCAGGATACTTTTTATGCAGCCTTAATTTGAAGTATGAATTTTTTTCACATGTGGGTTTGAATGGAGTGCTTTCTCTAGTGGTAAGATTTAAGACTCGATCAGTTAGCATTTTTGGTTTAAGCATATACATGGAAAAAATGACGTTTTGAATTGGACTCTCCTCCCTAACCCTCTACCCATTCTCAGTGTTTTAAACAGTGACTATTGCTTTTGATATATCTTAATTTCAGGGAGCGGTATAGACATAATTATTTGTTCTAAGATTAATAGCACTAGTTTTGTTCAACTTTGTGAATATGTTAAGAAGAACTTACCTGTGAGTTTCTGTAGCATAGGCTTCCTAGTAGATAAGGCTGTCTCTGAGTATGTATTCAAAAGGAGCATCACTTCCTTTTCCCCTATGCATGAAGAAGGCATCTTGAGCCCACTGCAAGTTATGTCTAAAACTCTCTATGCTTTTTTGGGTATATTCTTACGAGCAAAAAAGAGATATACTAGAGTAAGTAGTTTCATTAGTAATTTTCTTTAATGAAGTTAGTACCTCATTATGAAGGATAATTTTAAAGAAATGGATAAATTATTGAACCATATCCTTTTCTCTAGAATAAAAAAAATTGCAAATTTTGATAATTTGGAGCTTTATTATATTGTTTATAATGTTTATTTTCAGCTAAACTGGAGTCCTAGGTCAGCAGTCAGACTTTGGGGGTTCCAGCATCAGGCTTGGCCACTCACCCCAATACACAATTAAAGAGAAGAGTAGTTAGTAGTGAAGGACAGAAAAAGACTTATTCAAGTTCAGGGAGAAGGAGAGTAAACACTTCAGCCCATCTTTGGGTTGTTGACGTGAGCTTTAGCTAGAGGAAGGTTTAAATAGAGGAAGAAGTTCCAAAGTCTGAAACTTTTTGACCCCATGACCAGTAAATTCTATGCTAATATTTGAAACTCTGAAAAACTCCACAATCTGAAACTTGTTCTAACCATTTCAGGAAAGGGATATCCAACCTGTAATTATTTCACAAGAACAACATTTATGGTACTTAATTTAAAACAATAACTGGGCACTGGTGGCTAACTCCTGTAATCCTAGCTACTATGGGGGCAGAGATCAGGAGGATTGAAGCTCAAAGCCAGCATGGGGAAATAGTTCAAGAGACCTTATCTTGAAAATACCCAATACAAAAAAGGGATAGTGGAGTGGCTCCAAGTGTAGGCCCTGAGTTCAAACCCCAGTACATCAAGAAGAAAAATCAAATAATTACAGAAATACAATAATGAAGGAGGGTACTAGTCACTGATCTAATCAACTCCATTTTTCCCTTTCTATTTTTGCCTCTTTAACTTTTTCCTCCTGAGTGTCTCCCTCCTGGTTTAAACAGAGGAAGAATTGAGGCAGAAAGGAAAACAGTATATAACTAAACAGTCCTCGTCAGTTGATCATTATCTCAGTCCTGGTTTTACAAGGGGTTCTGCAGGAGTTGTTATTCTTTGCAGAAGAGTTGTTATTGAGGTTTGCTTGGGAGTAGTCTCTGTCCCTTACCATAAAAATGTTTAACATCTTCAGTATCCAAGGTGACTGCAAGAGGGAGACTCAGGAGGAAAAATTTAGAGAGACAAAATAGAGTCAGAGAGGGATGAAAGTGGAGCTAATTAGGCCAGTGACTGGTACCCTCCTTCATTATCATTTTAAATTAAGTACCATGAATGTTGTTGTTATAAGACAATTACAGGTTGAGTATTCATTACCTGAAATGCTTTGGCCCAGTTTCAGATTTTGAAATATTTGCATAGAATTTACTGGTCATGTGGTCAAAAAGTTTCAGATTTGGGGGCATTTTGAATTTTGAATTTTTGGGTTAGGGATATAGGACCTATATTTTGAGTCTTAGAAATTTTAGATAAATGGTATAAAGACCAACAATGCTTATTTTTGAGTTTCTATTTATATTAACATATAAGAATTAAATGTTTAGGGGACTGACAGAGTGGTTCAAGTGATAGAGTACCTGCCTAGCAGGTGTGAGGCCCTGAGTTTAAACCCCAGAACCACCACCAAAAAAAAAAAAAATTAAATGCTTTGTTATTTATATGCTATGGAAATTATAGAAACCTAGCATATTGGTATTATCATTCCATTATAGAAAGAGCACACTTAATTTTTAGTAACTTTAAGGTGTTTGATCAGAATTAATTAATTAAGTGATGAATTTTCTCTTTCTTATGCAGATCAATCTATAATGGATGTTTTGAAACATAAAAGTTTTCTAGAAGAACTGTTGTTTTGGACAATAAAGTATGAATTTCCCCAGAAGATGGTAACTTTCTTACTCAACATGCTTCCAGATCAAGAGTATAAGGTAAATGTATTTTTTCCTTCCTTTCTGAATTTTGCTTTGTTTTTGTTGCTTCTTCATTGTTAAATCATTATTTTGATATATAGCTCAATTGGGGTTTACTGTATTGTGGAGCAGAGGATTGTTGGAAAACTATGAGACAGCATTACTTTATTCTCTTGTTAACACAGGATTTGCATTAAAAGTCCAGAACCTTAGCTTTGTTGCAAAGCAGCATTACTAACCAGAATTCCAAAGGCTTGCCTTTCTGTATGGAATGGTAATGTGAAGGGAATGGTGGGGGACAAACAATAAAAGATGCTATGACAATGTTTAGTAGTTCAACTGAATTTAGATTGTGGGGTGAACATGGGAAAAGCCTGTAGTTGCTGGCCACACTGGTTAATGAAAGAATAGTTATTGAGTCATTACAAATGTAGGTAGGTGAAGTTTCCAGTCCCAGAGGTTATGGACCCACTTCTGAGCACCATATGGTTAGTTATGACCAAGTGACACAGTTCAGTGTATGAAGAGAATAAAGTATACTATAGTTCTTATTGCTGTAGTCAGTAGTGACACTTCAATAATATTATTGGTGCTGGAAATGTACATCAGTGGTTAAGTGTTTGTCTAGCTAGCATGAGGCCTTGGTTTCAAGCCCAAGTACCACAATAAGTAAATAAAAAAAGTAATATCATTATTTTGTATGTCTTTATACCTGCTAAAAAGTGCAACAGAGGAAATATACATGGTACTTAGAAAAGAAATAAAAGTAAATATAATCAGTACTGCAGTGTGTTTAATCAGATTATTGATCAGTTTTCATATCAAGGTGGAGAAGTTATTTCTTGTGGAATAATCATATTGGCGCACTTGTTTAGTAATATTAAATCTTCTGTGATGGTCTGTAGTTGAGACTTTAAGAGTAGGTAGTATATATTTGAACTTTAGTAAATTGATAAAATTGTGAGAAAAGTAAAATTTATTCTTAAGCAACAATATTTGCAATTGCTTTAAAACTTAACTAATTTAAATAGCCTGTTAACATTTAATAAAATACCATCAGGGTATTTTGCTAATGCTCCAAAAAATGCAAAATAAGACTTAAAACTACCATCATCATTGGATTATTTTTTCAGTTACTTTAGATATCACCATAAACTAGTAATAGCTTTAGAAGGACAGTATAATATATCGAAAAATAACTCAAGTTCAAAGTTCAATTAATGTATTTTTTCCTTTTTTATTTAAAAAATTTTACAGGTTGCTTTTACAAAAACTTTTGTTCAGCATTATGCTTTCATTATGAAAACACTGAAGAAGAGTCATGAATCAGACACAATGTCTAACAGAATTGTGCATATTAGTGTTCAGTTGTTCAGCAATGAGGAGCTAGCCAGACAGGTAACAGAAGAATGTCAGCTACTGGATATTATGGTCACTGTGCTGTTGTACATGATGGAAAGTTGCCTTATTAAAAGTGAGCTGCAAGGTAAACTCAGAATTATATTAATCAATTGTATTACAAATATTTATATAACTAGCCCTAAAATACCTCTGTGCTTAAAAATAACTTTAAAAATAACTTTAAAAATAATGCATACTTGGGAAAGATTTTTGAGAAAATTTATCATGAAGTTTAAAGAAAAAGTTAAATTCATTTATAGTTTTGTCATTCACAAGTAACTTTTGTTAATACTTTACTGTATTTATTTTCTCTTTATGTAATATCAGTATAGATACAAATGTGTACTTAAAGAATTTCCATAGTGTACATGCCAATATATATTTTAATAAAAGCAGATATTACTATCATGGTTTATATCACAATTTATGTAGCCATTTCTTTATTAGACATGTTCTTATTTTTTATCATGTTTGTTACTATTAGAGATTTTAATATGCTTATAAAATTAATATGCTTATAAAAATTATAACAAAATTCAGAGATTTTTATATTCTTATACTTTCATAATTTACAAATTGGATATAATTTTCTTTGTTCCCTTAGCAAGAACTTTTACAATCACCTTTTGGGCCCACTATATGGTTAATACTCCTTGATCTGTCACAATATTTCTAGAACTTTTTTTATTCTTACTTCTCTGTGGTCTTTCATTTTAACTTCCCTTATGTAATTTATATTACCTGAATATTTGCTATGTACCAAGCACTGTGTTGAATACTATTAATATGTTGTCTTAGTTTAGCTTCCAAACAACTCCCTGAGATTGTCAATATTATCCTTACTTTTAAGATGAGATTGTTGAGGCTTAGGAAAGTTAGTTAATTTGCTTAGATTGCACATCTAGTACATGACAGAGCCAAGAAGGATTTCATGTTTCCTTATGCTAGAACCTTTGTTCTTTACCATGTCACAGCCAGTTCCACCCTGAGAGTGCCGTGACTTAATTCATTGGCACCTGGAACTAAACTTCAAAAAAAAAATTATAAGCAATAACTCAAATCGTAGGATCATAGGACCTTTTTGATTCCCTGAAGAGAGATTTTATAGTTGAGCCTTGCCTTGTTGCACTGTTGCTTCTTTGTGCACTTTAGCACATGTTTTCTTATTATACTGACAGTCTGTACTAAGATATGACCTATATTCAGAAAATTGATAAATGCACGGTGCAAGGCGTGATAATACCTTATGTTTATGATGACTAGCATATTTTGAGCATTCACCATATGCCTGGCATATGGTAAGATATATACTTTATGTCATTTAAATGCCATTAATTCTATGAAGCAGATATTGTTGGCTCCATTTTATTGATGAGGAAACTGTGGCTTAGGGAGTTAAAGTCATTGGTGGTAAGGCTGGCTGTTTGACTTCAAAGCCCATAATCTTTCTATGTGACTCTCCCTTTTTATTGTAGGTATGATGGGAATATCCTATTATTGACATTAAGTAATATACCTCTAAACTTTTTTAAAGGAAAATATAAAAGCTGCTTTTTATTAGTTTTTCTGACTTCATGTACCATAGCCTTTTCTTAGAGATTTAGCTACGTATAATTACATTTTCAGTTTTCCTTTTTAAAATAGTATCTATCATCATTTACATGTATCAATGATATTCTTTTTACTTTTCAAAAAATAGTGTGTTTAACTCAAACTAAAAAACATTTGAAATTTAAAAGTATCTGCTCTTTTGAGAAGAATTTGGAGTCTTTTCTTGACTAAGTGATTTAGTTATGCTTATATATGACTTTCATTTGGTTTTTAAGGAAGAATGTTTGAGAAAAAGATGTATGAGTCTGCCTCCTGTTTTTTTTTTTTTTTTTTATAACCAGCTTTCCTAAGAAAGTTTTTATACCTTTCAGTCACTCATTAGTACTTCTCAATTAACCCACCTCAATCTAATGTCCACTTCCATCATTCTGTTGAAATTGTTCTCTGTGGGGCAAGTGTAGTGGTGAAATTCCAGCTACTTTGGAGGTGGAGGTAGGAGAACTGCAATTTGAAGCCAGCCTAGGCAAAAAGTTAGTGAGATACTACCTCAAAAAGAAGCTGGGTTTGGTGGCATTTACCTGTAAGCTCATCTACTCAGGAGGAGTGGTGGGAGGATCACTGTTTGAGGCCCGTGCAGGCAAAAAAACCTAGAGACCTTATTTGAAATGCAAACTAAAATCAAAAGAACTCGGGAACTAGGCACCAGAGGCAGAGATCAGGAGGACTGCAGTTTGAAGCCAGCCCTGGGCAAATAATTCACAAACCTATCTCAAAAAAAAAACTACCATAAAAAAGGGCTGGTGGAGTGGCTCAGGTGGTAAGAGTGCCTGCTTAGCTAATCGTGAGTCAAACTTCAGTGCTGCCTCCCACTCCCCACCCAAAAAAACGAACAAACAATTGAGGCCAAGGCTTAAGTGGTAGAGCACTTTGCCTAACAGGAGTGAGTCCCTGAATTCAATCCCCAGTACCACTGGGAAAAAAAAAGGAAATTGCTTTCTACAGAAATTTTCCTTGGCGCATGTGATCACATGTTAAATACCTTAGATAAATTACATTATCTCCAAGCCACGGTCTAAAACGAATTATTTTTAGCAGCCTTCAAACTTTGCCATGGTGTATTTTTCCTCTTATGGTAATAGTATATAGCATTTCATAATATGTTTATTTACTGCTTTTTTAAATGCACCATATTTTCTGTATTTTCATAATAAGGGTAATAGAATGAGCCTTAAATATATTTAGTAGCTACGGATATTACAGGGTTTCTGTCTTAAAAATTAAAACATTAAAAAATAGCCTCTGCCTAACCTTTGCCTAAATTGTCATTAGACAGTATTTCATTTTATTTTTTAAATTTTCTTACAATATTGGGGATTAATCGTAGGGCTTCATGCTTGCTAGGCGAGTGCTCTACCACTTGAGGTACACCCCAACCCCACCAGACTTCTTTATCTATAGTTATTACCATCTTCCTTTAGTCACATTCCACACTAGCAAAGGAGAGAGAGAGAGAGAGAATGGAAATGAAAATATAAGTCTTGATTTATTTATTTATTAGTAGAATACCTGACCTCAGGTGCCCTATAAATTTTTTGTTTATGAGTGAATTTCATTTAACACTGAATCATTGCTCTTTACATCTTTAGTGAGGAAAGTACTACTTTGGGTACAAGTAGAAGTCCTAATTGTTTATTTATTTAAAGATTTCAAGGTGTTTCTCACAAGAACAGTAGTATTTAAAGCAGTGTTAGGAAAACAGTGATTTTGATTAATTACATTTTGTGTATTCATCTTGTGATCTCAAGTAGGACAGCAATTTTCAATTTTTAATTTATTATTCTATTTTCTTAATCCCAGTGTTCCTCTGTACTATCCCTTCAATGTTGCTGGCTCACCAGTATGTAGTGGAAGTACTTATCAGTCGGGGCGGGTTGGAGGGTACTTTTCACATTCTCGGGTGCAGGTAATTTAAGAAAGGCCCCTCACTCCTTTATCATCACTCAGTTACTAAGTTACCATCTTTCATCCATTGAGAAGCAGTCCAAAACAGCAGACTCAACTGGGTCTTTTTCTTATATATTATTAAATTTAAGAGTTGGATGAAATAATTCCATGGATTTGAGTGTAAATTTAATATGTGGAAATTAAGAAGTGCAGTACAGGCCCTCCTTACTGATAAGTTTGACAGATAGGTGGTTAGTTGAAAAAGATGGTTAAAGTGAAGAATCATTTAAAAATGATACATACACACCTTTCATATTGTATTTTAACATTAAACACAGAAATGCATTTTCATTCTCCAGTATTTTCATTTTAGGTAAAATGTTTTCAAATATGGTTTCCTTGATTAGAATTTTGTCTCATTTTTCTTATATATACTGCATCTATAAATCATCATGTATGAACTCTATTTCCAATCTCTTTAAAGTAGACTTAGAATGTAAAGATTTTGTGAAGTAATCTGGGTATAAAATACATCTAGGATTTTAAGATTTTGCTGCTCTAAGGCTTTTTAGCTTTTGTACCCTCCCCCCACTTATTTTATTGCCTCTCAGAAAGTATATGGTCCAGTTTCTATAATACCTGACAGTGTGCATTCATATTTTATTAGTTAATATATTTTTGACTTAAATTTTATAATTACGATAAAAAGAAGTTAGCCTGAAAAGAAACAAAAACGAACTCTGAGTCCCTATCCTTTAGTTTGTCTACTAAGAAATAGACTACTATCCTTGAACATTCTGTGTATGATGGGGATTAGTATGTTGTACAGTGGGAATGAAGGTCTCCTTCGTGTACTAAACCAGTTAAGTTGGAATAGGTTAAGAGAGCTAGTGCATATATATTAGTAGGTGTTAACGATAAAGATTTTTATGCATCCTCATTTTTTCTGCCCAAAAATGTGTTAAACTTTGAGGACTTTTTTTTTAAGGCTTAAGAGGTTCATGTGCTTTTTGTTCTTTTCTCTGTGAAAAACACTTTTGCTATAAAGTTGAACTTATGTATTCTTTGAATAGAAGAAAACATATTTTTCACATGAAATCATACAGATTTGAGGAGAAGATGGAATGCTGTTACTGTAGGGATAAAATCTTATTGATTGGAGCTGAAAATAGTTTTAGAATCAAGAAAATGAGGTGTTTCAAGCACATAGTTAGCTCAATATCATGTAATGTATAGGACATGTGGTAATAATGTGGTAGGTGTTTTATGTTAACATCTCATTTAATTTCTTGAAGTTATGTGGTTTTTTAACCCCCTATTTTAAAGGTAAGGAAATTGATTCACAGATCCTAAATAACATGCCTAGAGCTATATAGATCTTAGATGGTATACTGGAGTGAGAATTTAGGTGTTTCTGATTCTAATGTGTGTAACAGTCTTTATCACTAGTAAAGTTGTTTTTTTCTTTTTTAAGTTATTTATTTATCTTTGGGCTGTGTGTGCCCTTTTTAGATGAAGAAAATAGTTTACACGTGGTGGTGAACTGTGGAGAAGCATTACTGAAGAATAATACTTATTGGCCTCTTGTTAGTGATTTTATTAATATTCTTTCTCATCAAAGTGTGGCTAAGAGATTTTTGGAAGACCATGGTTTGTTAGTTACATGGATGAACTTTGTGTCTTTCTTTCAAGGTAAGAATTTAATCTTTTTTTGTTAATTTATTTATTTATTGGTTCACAAAGTGCCTGATGCTTTACTAAATAAAGTACTAATAAACATAATACTAATAAATATGTAATACTTATTACTAATAAAAATACAAATATTAATAAAAATAATAGCACATAATTCAGATTATATGTGAAATATCTGATATTTTAATTACTATTTTTTAGGAACTTTAATAAGTCATTCATAAAAACATAACAGGGAGTTAGGAAAAATATGACATTATTAAAAAGGAAACAAGCCAGGTGCTGGTGGCTCACGCCTGTAATCCTAGCTACATGGGGGAGAGATCAGGAAGATTGCAGTTTGAAACCAGCCTGGGCAAATAGGTGACAAGATCCTATCTGGAGAAAACCCAGCACAAAAAAAGGACTGTTGGGAGTGGCTCAAGTGGTAGAGCATCTGCCTAGCAAGCATAAGGCCCTGAGTTCAAACTCCAGTACCATCACCAAAAAAAAAAAAAAAAAAAAAAAAAAAAGGAAATAAGTGTATAACTTCTTTGTACCATGACAAACCATTAATCTAGAAATGTTCATAAAAGTTTCAACTAGCATTAATTAAAGTTGTTCTGACTTTCTTATTCAAAGATACTTAATTATGTTATATACGAAGTGATATAAAGTGTTTCTAAGAAAATCTAGCTTGTAAAAAATTCTAAGAGGACTAATAACTTTTAGTTGTATGTAGAATTAATTACAATAATATATTATAAAATAATTATTTCTATATGTCATTTATGTTGTTTGTGTACATTAAAATGTACTGGGAACTGGGAAATATTTTACTTGATTTTAATTTGAATACTTACTCCATTTGACAAAGTCCATATGTGCTTTAATTTTTGCAAGGTATGAATTTAAACAAGCGAGAACTAAATGAGCATGTGGAATTTGAGTCTCAGACCTACTATGCTGCTTTTGCTGCTGAACTTGAGGCCTGTGCACAGCCAATGTGGGGACTCTTATCACATTGTAAAATTAGGGTATGTTGGAAATGTTTTTGTTCATTTCTGTATCTTACGTTTCTTTAAAATCATAACTTAAAAAAAATTTGTGAAGGCATTGATATGTATAGTTGTATGTAATGTTTAGTGTTTAATTCTGCTTCAAGTTGAATTCAGCTTTGTGGAAGCTGACCAGTAATTTTTATTCTTAGGCAGATTAGAATTCATTTATATTAGATCTTCCCAGTTTACCCTCATTTCAGATAGTCTTTGGAACTTCCTCAGTCTCTACATTCATCTCTATTGTTTCATTTTACCCATTATCTGTTTTCTAACGTTTCTTGTCTTTCAGGGGATAAGGATTGTCATCAGTGAAGTTTATAATTTTAAGATTCCAAGCACAAAGTAAATGTCATGCAATTTCTAGTTGTTGATATATGTAATAAAGTATTGGTTTGATGGGTCTCCAGAAACTGGGCAATTTCTGTTACACTAAAGATTTGACTAAGATTTTGATATATGATCTCATAAAGCCTAACCTGTTAGCTTGTACCAGTAAATATGCTAGATGAGATTTTATGTGAAAATATTTTGAAGCCCTTGGTTCTAGTTTTGGCTCTGCCTCTTTCTCCTTGGGTGACTTGGTCAACCCATTTAAAACTATGTGAGCTTCTTAGTCAGTTTTCTTATCCTTTTACAAACAAAACAAAACACAACACAACAAAACAAACTAAACAGAAATGGGACAGTAAAGTCTGTTCTTCCTCACAGGTAATTTTATTAATTAATTGATTGATTGATTTTGGCGATACTGGGGTTTGAACTTAAGGCCTCACACTGGCTAGGCAGGCGCGCTACTACTTGAGCCACTCTGCTAGTCCTTTTTTTGTGTTGGGTATTTTTGAGATAGGGTCTTGGGAACTATTTGCTGGGCGCTGGCTTTGAACTGAGATCCTTGTGATCTCTGCTTCCTGAGTAGCTAGGATTACAGGTGTGAACCACTGGTGCCTGGCTTTCATGGGCATTTATGCGGCTTATTTCCATCTACCCTTTAAATGTATGTATGTGCTCCTTTAAGTAGATAGATATTTTCTAAGAAAATTCACGTACCTATAAAATTCATGTGCCTGGGGTTACATGAATAACCCTACCTATTTGAAATATGACCTATTTAGACTGTAACAAAGTTGTAAGACATCTGCATTTAAAGAATAGCTGAATTTTTTTGTGTTCAAATTATAATCTGATACCATGAATTTCTCTTCCATTCTAGAAATATCTGCCTTTTGCTTCTTTCTTTATATTTTAAAAATCTTGATTATTAAGGAAATTTCTTAGCTGCTTTTCCTGTCTTTAGACTCCTCCTACTGTAATCCATCCTAAAGAAACTTTACTTTTCTGAGTTTTGCATATCTGTCCTTTGATTAAAAATCATTCAGGTTTTCATCTGTCTGTAGAGTAATGTTTGTATTTAATGTCTAAATTTAAGATTCTTCACAATTTGCCCTCAATTATCTTAATATTTCATCATCTTACTCCACCTCCATGTCCTGATTGATTCTTTTTTTTTTAATCTGGCAATACTTTATTAAATGGGATTTTGCAATAGGAACACACAAAATTGTACCGATTGATTCTTATTCCTCAGTGTGTAGTAACCTTTCTTGCTTTTGTTCAGGGTAGTCTGTAGTGGACATATCCTGTCTCATTTTCTTTTCTCAGCCAAGTGCTTCTCTTGCGTGAGTATTATCTGTGAAGCTTAAAAAACACATATGCCGAAGTCCCACTGTTAGAGATTTTCATTCATTTGATAAGCAGATATGCAGTGATTCTAGTCAGAGTGAAGAACCACTGATATTAGCTCATCAAATATTCTACTCATAAGACTCATCTGATATGTAATCTGATCATTTAAGTTTCTTTAGTCAAATTTGTGATTCTACTCTCGAAGTTTTCGTGGTATTTTGCTTAATCTCCACTGTAGATTTATTAAAAACAAAACCTCTCATATAATATGAGGTTTGTTTGTTCATCCATTCTAAAAACACTTAACCCAGTGCTATTCCATGCAAGACACTATCTAGATGGTTAGGTTTTTGGCATTGAACTGAATAGATGTGTTTCTTGTTTTCATGGAACAGTCTAATCGGGGAGGTCGACCTTGAGTCAGTAAGGACATAGATTTACTTTGTACATACTCTGTAGGAAAATAACATGTTGTTACCAGATACAGAAATGGGTTAAGCTGAAGGGTCAGAGAAGACCTTTCTGAGGAAAGAATATGAAGGTGCCAGCTATGTGAAGAATAAAAATGAGGTTAGTGGTGGGAGTAGGGAGGTAGGATAGAAAAGCCTACCTCCTGTAGGAAAGTGATTGATTGTTCCATTTAAGGAACCTATCTGGAACTACAGAGTAGATAAGATGACATTAGAGAGATAGGCAGGGGTTAGATTGTTATTCAGGTCCTTGTAGATTATGTTAAGAAGTCTTGAATTAAAATTTAAAGGGAAGTCCATAAAGGTTTTAAAGCAGGGTTTGATGTAATCACATTTACACCTAAAAAAATCATTCTTGTTGCTGGTGAAGACTGGGTTGGGGGAAGGTGAAATGTGAAGCAGCAAGACATCAGTGTCAAGGGTTGTAGCTTAGTAGTAAAGCACTTGCCTATCATATACAAAGCCCTGGGTTTGATCCTCAGCACTGGGGGGAGAACAAAATAAAACAGACTAGGTGTAGGTAGACCAATTAAGAGGCTTTAATAAATTGATTTCACTTACATATGGAATCTAAAAAATGACTTACAGAAGTAGAGAGAAGAATGTTGGTTACTGGAGGCTGGGTTGGGGACTTGAGAAATGGGGAGATTTTGACCAAAGCGTTCAAAGTTTCAGTTAGATCAGAGGAATAAATTTTTTAGAACTATTGTGTAGCATGGTGACCATAGTTAATAATAATGTATATTTTTAAAATGTGTAAGTAATGTATACTGTAAAAATTCTAAAAGATTTAAATATTTTCACTACAAAAAGATAAGCATATAAAATAATAGATATGTAAATTAACTTCATACAGTAATTCCATAGTCTATCCATGTATCAGGATATCACATTGTACCCAATAAATATATACAATTAGTATTTGTTAATTAAAAAGTGCCACGGTAATAGTCTAAACATAAATTCTAAAAATAAACTTGAGCATGTCATATTTGAGCTGTGACATACTTTGAATATTTAAGATATAATTTGGAGGCAGATTTAACAGGCTGGTGAAGACTGGGTTGGGGGGAAGGTGTAATATGAAGCATTTTCCACTATAAAATATAAAACTAAAAGATTAATTGATATAATTAATCATGTGAAGTGTGATTTATATGATTAGGCTGTTGTCTTTGTATGATTGCCATGAATGCTATTAGATCCTGAAAAATATTAAGGGCTTGTTAAAAAAGTAATACTACCCAGATACCCAGATAGGTAAGTTGGTAGAGCATCATATTTCTAATACCAGATTATTAACAGGTGGATTAGATAAAGGTTGACACAGTTCTAGAATTTTAAGTTTTGCTCTCTAGGGGGAACAAATAGACTGCAAAATTTCCACCTAGTAGCAGCTTTAGTTTATTTACTACAGATTTGATAGAAGTTGAGTCCTGTATTGACTCTTAGCAGTACTTACCTACCTGGTGAGGCACAGAGCTAGGCTATGATATGAACATTTTATGCACCTCATTTCATTTGTGCCTTTATTACAGTACTGTGAGGTAGGTCGTCATTATGACCATTTTTACTTTTGGAGAAATCCAGACTCAGAAAATTTAATTTACTAAAGTTTATAAACTAATGGGTAGTAAATCAGCATAATATGCATGCTGAATTTTTGGGGGATAGTGATGGTAGTAGTGGGAAGATGGAAGAGAGAGAATCTGAGAATAGTTTTAAAATACGCTGTATTTAGTTAGAGTTGCATGAATGTAGTGCCTTGTCCTGTTCATAATCTGGCCTTTTTGTGTCTGAGACATACTAAGGAGTTTTGTACGTTTAACCCTACAAGCCAAGGGCACTGTCTGCAGGCTGCAGGCATGATGGAACTGCAGATCACTAGAATGGCAGCATGTAAATATTCTTGATTCCTTCTTCAGTTGAAGTCCACTTGAGTAGTAGTTAACTGTTTTAGTTCTTGTTCTTGAGCAACCACTACTAAAAGTCTGACACATTGGTCACCACATCAGCTGGCTTTTCACACATCAGCTGGCTTTTCACACATCAGTTTCAAGTAACTGCCCTAGTTGGGCACTCATGGTCTGGTCTAATACACCAGGATTGCAGTGCTAACTGCAGGCCACACTCATGGGACACTCAGAGCTGTAGGATCCTTATGGCTGGACCTCTTCATTGTCACTAGCGCCAGTCCTCCCAAATTCTTGTGAGTCTTTTTATCTCCAAATGTAAGCGCCTCTTCTCCCACTGTCCTCTCCATCTGTGGCTTCTTTCCTTTGGGATTACTGTGTGAAAGCCTTCCAGGTTTAAGTCTTGCATGATTCTCCTGCCTTTACCTGCATTCCTGTTTGGTCATTTTCCCCTTTTGTTACAATATTTCCTGTCCTGTGGCCTTCTTCTTCTTTTTTTTCCACCAAGCTTTCAGTCTTAAATTTTCTTCTGATTTATCTTCTGTCCCCCAAAATCTGCTCTCTTAGGATCTTTTGGTGCCCAACTTGCCAGAGCCTTCTGTACTTAGTTCTCTGGCTTCTACTTGTGTGTTTGACCCACTGATCACCAACTAACAAGTTCACTTTTTTCTTCTAGGATCCTGAATTTCTCTGTTCTTTGGGTGATTTGTTGACTAACCCCAAACTCTGTGTCTGTTCCCTTAGAGAGCCAGTTTTCACAGCAGCTTCATCTGTTATCTGTTGATTACATCATTCCTAATTTTTCCAGACCTAAATCATTTTCTGTTGCGCCATTCTACTTGATGTGACTCATTTGCCAGTCTTTCTTATAATCCCAAACCAATAAGGCACAAATGTTTACTTCTCTCCATAAATCTTACATACAATTTTTTGTCATTTTTCAGAAACATAATACTCTATTTTCTCCAACCCAAAATCTTAAGGAGTTTGGAATGTGGTGTTTTGCACATAAATATTTAATAAAAGAATGCTAATTTTAGCTCTGCTGTGAGTTAAAATTAGATTTTGTTTTTTTCCATTTCTAAAATACCAAAGAACCTTCAAGAAATCTGAATTTATTCAGATACCTCTGGTTAAAAATGTTTCTTTTTAAATTTCCTAATTCGCTGCAGGAGATCTTAGATTTACTATTTTAACTGTAGCACTTACACACTTGAAATGTAATTTCTCCAGTGTACAAAACTTTGTCCTATACGGTGAGGTCTATATGGTGATTATATCTGAAAATGTTTCTTGGATATCTTTGGGTCTATTCAGTGAAAGTGGGGGTAATGAATAAAATTTTTGTGTTGCTTTGAGAAATATTCTTTGAATATCTGGAAATTACAAAAATTTTTAAATCTGGTAAACCATGATATAAGCAAGTACTTTTCTTTCTTGGTTATTTCCATTGGTCTCACCTGCTTAACTGCTCCACTGTTCTGTCAAAGATTCCTCCCTCCCTCCCTCTTTTTCTTTCTTTCAATAAATTCTGTGTTTAAAGCTGATCTCAAAAGTTTTTTTTTTTTTAATTATTGTGCTGGGGAGTACATTATGTCATTTACAAAGTTTTTACAATATATCAAATATATTATATTTGAATTCATCCCTGCCATCATTTTCCTTTATCCCTTCTCCTGGATTTTTTTTTTAAAAACCATACTTAGAAATGGAATTACTAGTAATCCTTCAAAGTTAAAATACTCTTTTTAAAATTTTTTTTTGACTGCACTGGAGTTTAAATTCAGAGTCTTGGGCTTAGTAGATAGGTACTCTGCTATTTGAGCCAACGCTCCTAGCTGGTTTTGCTTTAGTTATTGTTTTGAATAGGATCTCAAATTTTATGTCCATGCTGGCCTGGACCACAGTCCTCCTATTTATGCTTTCTACATAGCAGGGATCACAGGCATCACAGGCACGCTCCACCATGCCCAGCTTTTTTATTGGTTGAGATACTGTCTTACGAACTTTTTGCCTGGGTTGACCTCAAACTGCAATCCTCCCAATTTCTGCTTCCCCAGAAGCTAGATTTACAGGTTTGAGCCATTGAGCCTGACTAAAATATTCTTGATACCTATTTGTCAAATTGTCCTCCATAAGGGTTGTACCTTTTTATACTTGTGCTAAGCGTGTATAATGGAACCCCAATGTCCAACCTCTCGAAAAATGTGAGAATATTTGGTTTTCAGAGTTTTATACATGATCATCTGTCACTTTAAGACAGATTATTTGTGGTAACTTGTGCCATTAAATTTTTTCTTTTCAGTGAGAGAGACTAGATGTGTAAAGTAACATTTTTATAAAGATAAATCTTATACAGGATAGACAGGAACAGAATGAGACTGTTGGCAAGGTGACCAGATAAGGGTTGTTTGGGCAGGATGGTGGAAGCACACAGGCCAGAACCTATATGATAATGTCATGGAAGAAATGACAGGACATGGGAATGAGCAGGGTGAAAAAAATCGAGAATGAATGTGGGGTCCTGGCATGGGAGTGCACTATTGTAATCCCAGTGCTCAGGAAGCTGAGGTAGGAGGACAGTGAATTTGAGTTCAGCCTGGGAGACATAGTAAGACACTACCTAAAAAAAAAAAAAAAAAAAAAAAGTGGATAGCTGATGAGTGTGACCTATTTGATTTTGATGCTACTCCCTCAAATTGATGTCCCAGTATACCTTTAAAAGTTATTTTAACTGTGACAAAAGTGACCATTTTAACCAGTTTAAGGTGTACAATTCAGTAGTTTGTAGTGTATTCCCAAAGTTGTGCAATAATTACCATTATTTAATTCCAGAACATTTCCATCACCCCAAAAGAAACCACATTCCTCCCAATTCCATCCTTCCCATATCCCCTGAAAAATCACTAGTTAACTTTCTCTATGAATCTAATGTGAACATTTCATATCAATGTAGTCATACCATATGTAGCCTTTTGTGTTTGTATTTTTTTCCTTGGTGTAATGTTTTCATGGGTCAACTATGTGGTAGCATGTGTCAGTAATTCATTCCTTTTTATGACTGGATAATATTCCATTGTATGGATATTCCACATTTTGTCTGCTGATTGATGGTATTTGATTTGATTCTACTTGTTAAACTATGAATGATGCTTCTGTGGACATCTGAACTAATTTTTTTTTTTTGGTGGTACAGGGGTTTGAACCTCAGGACTTCACACCTGCAAGTGCTCTATCTCTTGAGCCACACCTCCAGCTCTTCTTGCTCTAGTTATTTTTGAGATAGGTCTCACTTTTTGCCTAGTCCAGCCTGGACCATGATTGTATTTTACACTTCCTGCAGTAGTTTGGATGACAGGCTCTTGCCATTGCGCCTTGCTGTTGGTTGACGTGGGGTTTACAGATTTGTTGCCTGGACTGGCCTCAGGCTGCAAGCCTCCTGAGTAGCTAGGATTATAGACATGAGACATCATTGCCTAGCTGTATACAGTTTTGTGTGAAAATAAGCTTTCAGTTCTCTTGAGTATAATATATAGTAGAAGAATTTCTTGGTCATATGGTTAACTTTATGTTTAACTAGAGGAACTGCCTATACCATTTTATAGTCTCATCAGCAATGTATGAGAATTCCAGTTGCTCTACATCTTTGCTAACACTTTGTATTTTACCTTTAAAAAATTAGGCCTTCCTAGTGGGTGCGAAGTGGTATCTCGCTGTGGCTTTGATTTGCAGTTTCCCATGCCATTGAACATTTTTTCATGTGCTTATTAGTTATTTGTGTTTTTTTTAAAAGAAATGTTTATTCAACTTACATATATCAGTGTATTTTTTATTATATATCATATATGTATATATATATATATATGAAAGCTTTCTCTTGATTTGTATATTTAACTTAAAACTTAGCTATTTCAGTGGATCCGTTTTACCATAAAACATTGCAATTGCATTGTAATTGTAATAATGCAATTATTTCAAGTGGCTTACACTTATCATTTATTTTTCCATACTGTGTTATACACCAAGATACCACAGACTAATCATTGTATAAAATATATATAACATAAGATTTACCATTTTATTTTCAGGGTACAATTCAGTGCCATTAAGTATATTCACAGTGTTGTGCAATCCATCACTATTGTCTGTTTCTAATGCTTTTGCATCAGTCCCCAAAAGACTATATTTATTAAATGATAACATTAGGAATTTATAATATTTTAGGGGTCTCTTGAAATGGAACCTGATTTAAGTGTATTTTAAATCTTTTTCAGCTTTGATTCATTTTCAGGTATGTTATATAAAAGGAATCAGTTCTTTTTTATATTTGTTACTGGTTGTTACTAGTAGTTTAGGGAGGGATGATTTCTTGAAATTGTAAATATTACAGTGATTATCTTGAATACACATACGTTTTATCATTATATGCAATTCGTATAATTATTATTATGTATTATATATAATTTGATGTTGAGAATACCAGATTATCAATTTGTTTATTTGCTTTAAAATTTACATAATTTATTGCTTTAGGAGACTCAAGAATATACCCGAAATGTTGTAAGATACTGCCTTGAAGCTCTTCAAGACTGGTTTGATGCTATTAACTTTGTAGATGAGGTAGGTATGTGTGTGTGTGTACACCTACTATTTTTGTTGTTTTGTTTTGTGGCGCTGGGGATTGAAGCTAGGGCTTCTGTGTGCTAGATAAGTAGTGTACCACTGAGTTACGTCCCCAGCCTGCATAGTTATGTATGTTTTTGACATATTTAAAAACATTTAAGAAAAAAGTGTTAGATATCATTTAACATTGAAAATAATGAGTATTTTTCATGGGATAAGGGAAAAAAGTCAGAATTGAGAAAATATTATTAGGGATTTTTTTTTAAGATAAGGATAAGTTTAAAAGGGATGGCAGGTTCTTTGACATTTGGAAAATTCTCAAATACTTTAATCATGTCTGATTATTTCCTAGAGAAGAGAGGCAGGCATAATTTCTTTTTTTTCTGTTTTAAGTATGTATGTGCCATTATTTCTCAGACATGAAAATTAGTTTCAGTTAAAGAGGTAAAATTGTTGGCACAAATGTGAGTAGAATAGGAGAGATTAAAGAAAGTTGTAATACAACTCTAATAGTTGGACAATGTTCTTGTTGGAGAATGAAAAGATGAGCTTGAACAAAGGTGATTTTTATTAATAAAGAGTTGTCACAGAACATGCTATGTTGGAATTAAACAAGTCTTTACTTTTATTAGTCAAGTCATCAGAAGTCCCTTTTGTAACTTTTATGAAGTAGGGTCAGAATATGCCACATGTAGAAGAACATATTTTAGATAGCCCCCTCCCATCTGACTATCTGATTTTCAAACCTTGGGCAGGTAGGACCCCTCTTGTCTTGTGTGCTTATGTGTGTGTATAGGGGTGGTGAAATATATATATATATATATTTTTTTTTTTGGTGGACTGGTGTTTGAATTCAAGGCTTTGTGCTCGTAAAGCAGGCACTCTACTGCTTGAGCTATTCCTGCAGTCCAGTTTGCTCTGGTTATTTTGGAGATGAGAGCTCTCAAACTATTTGCCTGGGCTGGCCTTGAGTTTCAGTCCTCCCAATCTCAGCCTCCCAAGTAGCTAGGATTATAGGCGTGGCCACCAGCACCAGGCTGTCTTTTTCCTTTAAAATTTTTTGACACAGTCTCAAATTTATTGAAAAGTTGGGAATGCAAAAGAATTTTCTTTTTCCAAATCATTTGAGAGTTGTTGATTTGATACCCTATTTCCCCCAAACACTAATGTGTATTTTCTACAAATCAAGGAGATTTCTTATATAATCATTCATATATTATTCATATATTGTTGCCATCTGATCCTTAGACCTCATTTATGTCTTAGTAGTTGTTCAATGATGTTCTTTAGAGCAAAAGAATCTGATTCAGAATCACAGGTTGAATTTTGTTACCATGTTTCTAGTCTCCTCCTTGAACACTTTCTTGGTTTTTCTTTGACTTTTCACACAGTGAAATTTTGAAGAGTGCATGTCAGTAATTTTGTTGAATGTTCTTCAGTTTGGGTTTTTCATGATTAAATTGAGATTGTGTATCTTTTCCAGAAAGATGACAGAAGTGGTGTTGCAGTCTTTTCATTATATCCTGTCTGATGGTTTATGATTTGTATTTGTCCTGATGATGTTCTCTTTGATCATTTGATTAGGTGATAACTGCTAGATTTTTTTCACCATTAAGTTATCCTTCTCTCACTGTAATGAATAAGATATTTTGTGAGGACACATCTTTTTTTTTGGTGGGACTGGGATTTGAACTCAGGCCTTCAAATGGCCCTGATGCTTTACCACTTGAGCCGCACCTCCAGTCCATTTTGCTCTGGTTATTTTGGAGATGGGGATCTTGAGAGCTATTTGCCTGGTTTGGCCTAAAACCCTAATCCTCCCACTCTCAGCCTCCCAAGTAGATAGGATAACAGGTGTGAGTCACCAGTGCCTGGCTGTGAAGACACACACTGTTTTCTCATCCAATTTTCAATTCATTTATTTTTATCTGTTAGGGATTCATAGTTTGTAGTTTATTTAATGGGTTATAATTCATTACCATTATTATTTGATGTTCAAATTGTTCAGATTTGGCCCCTGGGAACCCCTTCAAGTTGGTTTCTGTATCCTTTTATTTGTTTCATATTCTTTGGGAGCTTTCATGCTTTATGTCCCCACAAAATGTTTCACAGTTACCATATAGTTCCCGTTTCATTCCTGGAAGCATTCATTTCTTAAGGACCCCTGGTGATTTTTAGTGGAGAATAGTATGTATAAAGCAAGAATGGTTGTTAGGAACGCAGAGAAACTAAAGCAGATACTCTAAAGCAACTGAGGCCAATAGGAGAAGGGGACCAGGAACTAGAGAAAAGGTTAGTTCAAGAAGCATTAACTTAGAAGGTAACACACATGCACAGGAAATGAATGTGAGTCAACTCCCTGTATAGCTATCCTTATCTCAACTAGCAAAAACCCTTGTTCCTTCCTATTATTGCTTATACTCTCTCTTCAACAAAATTAGAGATAAGGGCAAAATAGTTTCTGCTTGGAAGCGAGGGGGTAGGGGAGGAGAGGGACGGGGTGGGGAGTAAGGGAGGGGGCGGGGGGAAGGGGGAAGAAATGACCCAGACATTGTATGCACGTATGAATAAAATAAAAATTAAAAAAATAATAAAAAAAGAAAAAAAAAAGAATGGTTGTTAGGTGTGCTGATTGCTATTTGAGTGTCACTCTTTCCAGGCCCTCACAGTGAGAAGAGGCTAGGATATATAGATAATATACACCTATCTGAGTCTATTTTTATTTCTCTATCTCTATATAGTGGAAGACATGAGTTCAAATTGATATTTTAAAATTTGAGTTTAACATCATAGAACTTACTCACATTTTCTTCAAAAGTGAGAAACCTGGCTTCCATCATCTATAATATGTTTACATGTTTGTGTGTGTGTATAAGACCTTCGCACCCTTTGACTTTGCTTAGGTCTTACTTCTTATGTCAGGCCACATCCCCTTATGTTAACTCATTCACTCCCTCTGAGGATACCATGAAGCAACCATGACATGAGCAAGTCTGAAATCTGTAGGTCCTCCACCCTTGCATAGTTGCCCTCCTTTGTATGGGCTTTTATCTTTTTTCAGGCTCCTTACCTATACATGCCTATTTTATCCTGTGCTCTCTGTCAGTGACTTTATGAATCAATTGTTTAGGAAGGGAAGAGCTCCCTTGATCTTTAATCCTTCCTATCTCTAATTTATCTTCTACCCCTGATCACTCCTCCTCCAACATTTGTGTCTACTCTTAGCCTTCAGCCTGGAAAACCTGGAGTTTGTCCAACTGGATTTTGATTCTGCCTTAATTCTTAATCACCTTAATTCTTTTGACTTTAATTATTGGTCCTTAAGTTTAAACTTTGTTTATTTAAATAGTAATGAGTCTATCTGTTGAACGTGCATTCTCCAGTTTGTTAGTCTTTTTGTTGCTGTGACAAATACCTGAGAGAAACAATTTAAAAGGTGTAAAGATTTATTTTGACTCAAAGCTTCAAGGTTTCAAGCTCATGGTTTGGGCCTGAGGCAAGACAAAACATGGTGATGGGAGTGTATGGCAGAGGCTACTAACCTAATGTCAGCCAGGAAACAGAGAGGAGAAAGACAGGAAGGGACTGAGGATAGTGTGTACCTTTTCAGGGCATACCACCAGTTATATACTTCCTCTGAGTAGTCCCAAAATCCTAATTTTCACCTCTCAATGATGTCATCAGCTATGAATCAATCAGTGGATTAACCCATTGATGAAGTGTGAGCCCTCATGATCCAATCACTTTCCCAAAGCCCTACCTTCAAACACTGCTCCCTTGGGACTATGCTTTCAACACATGAGCTTTTTTGGGGGACACTTCATATCCAAGCTATAACACCAGTTTCTAAAACAGCTCTATCCTACTTTCTGCCTGCTTTACTACTTTCCCCTATCCAGGATTAGTCCCTCAGCTAGAGCTGAAGCTTTTCTCAACTCAGTTTTTATTGGTATTTGAAACCAGAAATTATTGTTGATATGATATTGTATCACCAAGATAATAGAAAGTTTGAAGTGAGGGAAAATTATACACAGAGGATTATGTAGTAAATAACATGAAAGTGAATTAAGGTTGGACTCAGGAGTGGAGTTACAGATAGGTAGAATCATGTATGATATACAGGGCAGCTGCATTCAAGGAAAAAGTATGCCTAACAGGAAGCCCTGTGTTCAAATCCCAGTATTGCAAAATAAATGATTAAAATTAAAAAAAAATAAAGACAAGAATGTATACTTTTGCTCTATAGTGATGTCATTATCCATGTGATATTTTATTCATTAAAATACATTTTTTAATAATATTTATGTCTGCTAGAGGTCATTGACATATTATGTACTAAGTTTTGTTATGGCGGCTGATATGTTTGACACTGATATGGGGGGTATCTTACCCACCTGTTGAAGTAATCTAAGGATGCCCTTATTTTTAGCTGTCAGAGTCCTCTTACTACTCTGAGTATAACGGTGGAGTTCACATTAGCTCCTGAGCTCACCACTTTTGAACTTTAGGAAATCACTTAACTTTTCTACAATTGAATTTTTGTAATCATAGAATGGGAATATTAATAGTTCCTACCTTAGAGGAGGTTTAAATGAGATATTGAAAATAAAGTGTTTAGCATGGTGACTGACACATAATAAGTACTCAGTGAATGTTAGCTGTGATTATTATTGCTATCATGTTTGGTATGCTTGCGTTTGAAGAGTCTCAAATGGACTTCTATAGAAGGAAATCTGTTCTGTTCTTTGTTTCTATAATGATTATTTGCTTTAGCTTAATTAAGTTACAAAAAAGATTAATCTGTGCTAGATGCTTCAGAGAATTCGTAGATGAGTAGTATGTAATTCCTTTCTTCAAGGAATTGCACTTGGTGTTTAGAATTGGAGTAATCATATCTATAGTTATTTTTAAGTTTTGATAAAAAAGTGTAGGGATAAATTCAGGAGAGAGTGTGTGTGTTTGTGTCATTGGGAATTGAACCCAGGGCCTTGCACAGAGAATGTTTCTAACATTTTAAAACCGTCTCAGAATCTTTGACTTGTGGCTTCTGTTTATTGCAGCCAGCACCTAACCAAGTCACTTTTCATCTGCCACTGCATCGTTACTATGCTATGTTTTTGAGTAAGGTAAGATTGTGATTAAATAATTTAGCTTCCTTTTATTTTGGGAAAATATTGAATTACTAACTTTTTAAATCATAATTTTTTAGGCTGTGAAATGTCAAGAACTAGATTTGGATTCTGTTTTACCAGATCAGGAAATGTTAATGAAACTAATGATTCACCCACTTCAAATTCAAGTATGTATTCAGGCTTTTAAAAAGGATTTTTTTTTTTTTTTTTGCAACATTGGGGTTTAAACTCAGGGCCTCACACTTGCTAGATAGGTTCTTTTATCGCTTGAGCCATTCTACCAGCCCCAGGCTTTTGAAAAAGTTTTGAACTGAATTCTTTGGTTATGTGATTCATCCCTTATTTTGTGTGCCTTTATCATTTTTATTATGGTCAAAATGTTTGAAAACTTAAAAAAAAGTTGAATTCTTGTATTTTTTCCTAGATTATATTTAGGCTTTTTTTGCTGTTGTTTTATGAGATTTAATTTGAATTTCCCCAGGAATTTTTTAGTGTATATATATATATATTTTTTTTTTTTTTTAAAGAGGAATTTGATTGTATTTAGCTCTGTTTAGGGAATCAGGAGACTCAACAGATTCTAGTCCTGGTGCCAATATTTTATTTTTTACTTAGTTTGGGGTAATTCCCTCTTTGGTTCTCAGTTTCTTCTTCTATATAATGTGAGAAGAGAAAGAAGAGAGAATTAGTTCAAGTAGGCTCCGAGATTTCTTTTAGTAATCACAGTATAATTTTGTGGGCTAACCTTCTATATACATTAGAGAGACTCACATTTTATTTTTCCTGGCCATCTTATTTCTTTTCTTTTCTTTCTTCCTGGCCATTTTAGATTAATTCTTTTTGAACTTCAGCTCCTGGGGTTAGGAACAAGTTTTTATTGATACTGAACAAAAATACATGAAAAATTAACATTAACACAGTAAGAAAATTTATTCTAATCTGATGTTTTTTACTTCCAGTTATTTAGAAGATAAGTTGTTTAGGTTGAAGGCTGGATTAGATGGAATTAAAGTTGTAGACTGTATTCATTGATTGAACAGTTAGCTGTATTTTATGCTTATTTCATTGTGTTTTCTTTAAGCATAGTGTATGTATGCTTTTTTGGGGGGGGATTGAGGGAGAAATAAGAGTGAAAAATGGGTATTTCTCATGAAAGATTTCACTAAAATTATTATAAATATATCCAGAGGCCAACATGGAAAACTTAACTCATGTATATACTCCAAAAAAGGTGACTGTATACCAAGCATAATCATTAAAAAATTTTAATAATAGGCTGAGTTTGTTGGCACATTCCTGGGCCTCAAGACCCTTTGAGACCCTGTCTCAAAAAACAAACAAAAATACACACAATAGAATTAAAAATAAATGCCTGGCACTGGTGACTCATGCCTATAATTCTAGCTATTTGAGAGGCAGAGATCAGGAGGATCGTGGTTCTAAGCCAACCTGGGCAAATAGTTTGAGAGACCCTATCCTGAAAATACCCAACCCAAAAAACAGGCTGGTATAGTGGCTGAAGTGGTAGAAATGCCTGCTTAGGAAGCATGAGACCCTGAGTTCAAACCCTAGAATCACAAAGAATTAAAAAAATATATATTTGAGGTGAATTATCTTTAACATTGGACAGAATGACAGGCTCATATTATGAGTCATAAAATATTTAAAAATGATTTTATAAATACTGAGTTTAGATGATTTTATTTATTTATTTGTTTATTTATTTAATTTTATTAGGCAAGTCTTGCTGAAATCCACAGCAACATGTGGGTAAGAAATGGTCTGCAAATCAAAGGGCAAGCAATGACCTATGTCCAGTCTCATTTTTGTAATTCTATGATTGATCCTGACATTTACCTATTACAGGTAAGCCCACTCGGTAAAGCCAGTGCTGTGCTTCAGAAATGCCTTATTTGTACCACATGATTTTACTTTATATGAGGTAACCAAGTGATGACATGGAGAGGTTAGTACGTTGAAAGAGGAGTTTGTTATTACACTTCCCAAAGGAAGTATACACGCTATGCCACATTGGCTCAAGGAAAGCATCAGGTTTTGGGTAGGAGCCAAAAGCAGGAATGAGAGCTCCCTACATTAGCACCTTTTGGGGATTCTGTAGGAAAGTCAAGGTAGACTAGGACAAACAGTTTAGGACTGGCCAGTTTGAGTAATTGTGGTGGGCTTTATGGCACCGTACCATAAAGCTAGGAACTGTACCTAGCTTTTTAGGTTTTTAGCCAGGGGTTGATTTATGGCTAGCATGAAGGGTGTGTTCCCAAGTATGGTGGTTTTTTTTTTTTTAAAACTTTTTAGGAATTAGCTATCCCTGTTTATAATATAATCTTTTACTAGTCCCTAATTTCCTTTGCTGAGTATGTATGGTCCCCACCATGTCAAAACATCACAAAATACAGAAAACAAAGAACATCATTAATAGTAGAGATAAAACTGCATATTGAGAACTAAAGCTTTTTTTCTCTTGTTTAAAGGTTTGTGCTTCTAGACTTGATCCAGATTATTTTATATCATCTGTCTTTGAAAGGTAAGCATATTTTTATTAAGACAGGTATTAGGAGATATTTGGAATTTAACTTAATTTTGTTTTAACTTCTAAAAATCTGTCTCAAATATTTCTTCTTATAGATTTAAGGTGGTAGATTTATTGACAATGGCTTCACAACATCAAAATACAGTACTTGATGCAGAGCATGAGAGATCAATGTTAGAAGGCGCTCTTACATTTCTTGTGATTCTTTTGAGTCTTCGTTTACATTTAGGTAAACTGCTAATACTAACACTTAAGTATTAACTGTTTTTCTCCGTCTTCCCCTCTCCCCGTGTTAGTAACTAGCTCATGGAAAAAAGAAAGGATGGATATATTTAGGTATAGTTTCAACTTTTGACATGTTGTGCAATTGGTATGTCTTTCAGAATATCTTTTTAAAAATCCTTTGCTTATGGGAAATGCAAATAGGGTAGTAAAATTGCAATTAAATTTTGTGTATTCCATTTTTTACTGTTTTTTTGGTAGGACTGGGGTTTGAACTGAGGACGTTGCACTTGCAAAGCAAGTGCTCTACCACTTGAACAACACATGCAGTCCATTTTGCTCTGGTTATTTTTGGAGATGGAGATCTCACAACTATTTGCTTGGGATGGCCTTGAACTGTAATCCTGATCTCAGTCTCCCAAGTAACTAGCTTGTGAAGTGTGAGCCACTGGCACCCAGCTGCATTCTTTATTTTGAAACATCTCATATTTGGTAAAATAGCTTAATACAATGTGTGGCAAGTTCTTTGGTTATAAGTTAAATGAATCCAGATATATTAATTCTGTTTTTAATAATTCTAGGAATGTCTGATGATGAGATTCTCAGGGCAGAGATGGTAGCCCAGCTATGTATGAATGACAGGACACATAGCTCACTGCTGGACCTCATATCCTTTTAAAAGTTTAATTTGTTGATAGTGGCATGTTCTAAAAGAAATGATTTTTTATGGATTAACCTTTAAATTAAAGATTTTTTAAAGTTGAAAAATAATGTAGGAAAAGTATACCAGTTGTTTGTTCAAGTGTGTGTTCAAAGCTAGTGACAGGTATTTTTATTCCCTATTATTACCTCTTAGGAAGCTCTCCTTAGAGTATACCTCAGGACAGATGGCTGTGGACACCCAGGATCTGCCCTTCTAATGATAGCATTTGTAAAATGTGACTAGGTCTGCTTTTTCTGTCCATCAGGCTAGAGTTCATGGTTAATAGTTAAAACATTGTAATTATTATCACTAGAATTTTAAATGAAGATTTTGTTTTGTTAGAATTCAATGTTAAGGGATTTTCAAATTTTTAGATTGTTGTCTACAAATTGGAAACTTGTGGTTCTTTGTACAGACTGAGCATATAATGGATTAGAGATTATAATGTTATTTTGTAATGAAAGTATTTGATTAAATTTAGTATTATGTATCTTATGATTATATTTTGGAAGAGTTGGCCATGAAATTTTGTGAAATAGCTTCTATTAGAATACTTGTTTGACTATCTTGAAGTTTTCTTAAACAGCATCAATTCACTATTGTCTGATAATTTCACTCACCCATTATGTACTGTTTTGGTGCTGTTACACAGCAAAAGCATTCTCTGTAACTTTGAATTTGAGAATTATATACCATAATGTGAGACAAATAGGAGAGAATCTGTGTGCTTTACTGCTTTCTCCTTTTGCATAAATCTGTGTCTCATTTTTCCAAAAATTTTGTATTCTTGGAAAAATAACCTTTACTCAAAAAAGTTGTGACTAATTTTTAGCGTATTCTTCCTGTTTTTCAGAGGAAAGGTGCACATTTACAAAATGAGGAAAAAAAATCAAAGAAAATTTTTTCTCATTTTCTGAAATTTGATGAATTTGTTTGGGAGGAAATATTCCTGGGGACTATTTCATCATACAGTATATTACCTGGCTCCTAGATTTAAGATATTGAAAAAAGAAGTCACAATTAAGTTATTATTGAACTGTTATATAGCCCTCTTGTGGCCAACTTTATATTACAGCCAATTGCCTGTTTTAGTAAAATCAGAAACTAGAATAATTTGCAAAGGCTATGAAGCTGGCTTTTAGTCATTAATATTTTTTCTTGACACATACATTATATTCCAGAAAATCCCAACCCCAAAAGTGGTATTATCCCAGGAGTTACAGCTTTGAATCAGTTTTATCAGCAGTAGCTGATTTTAAGGCTCCTGTTTTTGAACCTGGAGGTTCTATGCAGCAAGGAATGTATACTCCCAAAGGTATGTTTATATATATAAATATATTCTTTCAAATATCAGTTCTTTGAAGGTAAACTCTTGTTTGTACTCAAAGAAAATGTTTATATTCTACTCATTCAGTTTTTGTTTTCTTTCAACTTTCTTAATGAATTTATGTCTTTTATGGCAAACAGTAATATGTTTCCATTTATTTACAAATCTTGTTTTCTGTTACAATAAGCCTTCTTAGTTGGCTCTGAATTATAAAAGGAACTTTGTAATCCTTTATTTAGGGTGTGGCTGTACTGGGTTTTGATCTCAAGGCCTCACACTTGCTAGGTAAAAGGAACTTTAGATAAGAACTCTAATTCAGTCATTAAGTGACCATAACCCTGAGTGAACTAGAAATTACAAAACAAAAATTATTTAAAAACATTTTAAATGTATTTTCTTTCTCAATTTGATTTGAAACAGTTCTCACTACCCATTTTTTAACTGAGATACTTTAAAGTCTGTATAGAATGCTGATAACACAATTTGAATTTTTTAAGTGGTTGGTTTTCTAAGGCTTTTCCTCTAGATTCATATATAATATGCTTGAAAGAGTGAGAAATACACGAGGTTTTGATTCACAGAGAATTTTTTTTTAACGTTTAGATTTTCACTTAAAAGTTTGAAGAGGAGTGCTTTTTGACCCTCTCAACATTTATTGTCTAAGTAGAAATCTAATGTGCATTTTGAAGTTATACATAGCATGTATTATGTTTGGTAAAGCACAAAAGAAAAGCCTTATCATGTGGCATTTTTCATGGAGTTCATATGTTGTGAGAACAATTCAGAGTCCCTGGTTAGAATGCATTCCATTAAAGAAAAAAACCACAATATTTCTTAATTAGTAAGAGCACTTTGTCTAAAATTTAGATAAACTTAGTAGTGGAGTGGTGTTCTGTGTAGAGCATTGCTTTTGAATGTGTGATGTAAGGTTTACCTTTTCCAGCTTCACTTTCAGTCCTTGTTAAAAACACCAGTTCCTGTGCCTTATTTCCTGTTGTCTCTAATCGGAATCTCTGTGGATAGAATCTGGAAATTAGCGTATTCAATAAGTTCTGTAGATGGTTGTTCTGCATAATAATTTGTGACAAGTTCCGGATAGTAATTAACAGAAAAGTTGAAATTTGCTTAAGCTCCTTATCATGTCTTCAAATGTTAAGAATTTTGCCAGAGCGAATGACACAAGAAACAAAAACCTTAACATAGGAAAAAAGCACTCTTAAGGCATTGGTTTCTGAAATTATTATTGTTAGACCATCTTTTAGATTTTGGTTACATCTAAATATCATTTCTACTATTAATACTTAGTTTGTAATAACCCATTTCCTTAAATGGGTTAATCTCTTTTTTCTTTTTTAAACTTCACATGGTTATTAGTGAGGTAATGAGTTTTATTTGCATCTTAAGGTTTTCTAATATACATTAAAATAATGATATAATTATTAAAATAAAAAGCTTTATACACTTAATATTTAATCTAATCTAGTGTACCATCAATTGTACACATAGAATACATGGGAAAGTGGTTCCTAATTATACAGAAGGTAAGGAGGATATTTACTAATTTTTGCTGAAGGACAGAAAATAAAAGTTTATTAAAGTGAGAGTTGAATATCAGTAGCTCATTTTGTTTTTAATCTAGTTTTCATTTTTTTTTAAACCTGTGAATACTTTTAAAGGTATTAATATGCTGTTTTTCTTACTTCCTAATAGACACCTTACAAAAAAACCTAAAACCCCCCAAATAATAATGAGCTAAGCTTTTATGGTGAGGTGTTGCTAGATTTCAAAACTTGTTCGCTAGTGCTTGTGGAACATTCCTAATGCCAACATTGCAATTTTAGCTTAAAAAGAAGGCACACTATCAAACTTTTTAAGGCAAATACAATCAAGTTGAACTATTAAGTGTTTTGAATTTAAAATGTACTTAACAATTGTAGTAAGTCATTAGAAATTGGCTTTATTTCTAAGAAGTCAGTATTCTGTTTCTGTTTTCTTTTATATAATAGCTGAAGTGTGGGATCAAGAGTTTGACCCCGTCATGGTCATTCTTCGAACAGTTTACCGTAGGGATGTGCAATCTGCAATGGACAGATACACAGCATTGTAAGTCAAATAAATTAATGTTATAGCGGAATGTTGTGTTCATATAGAAAAGTTTCAGTTATAACACATATGATGTGCTCTTATTAAACTATACTCTCAATCAAAGAAAGAAAATTTAGTTGCTGTTTGTTTGGTCAATAGAATTTGAGACTTGGTTTTGTGTTGTTCTACTTTTGAACCAGCAGAGGAGGCACAAGTTTAAGAAAATAACATTGGTATCAGAGATGTTGGGTGAATACAAAAAGTGTGAAAACAGTGTGTTGTTCTTTACAACTGAGAAAATAGTTAAAGCAAATGAATTTTACTTATACATAACTAACAAAATAGCTTAAAATGCTAATTGCAGAAAATGAAAGTTTTAAAGGCCATCTTTTTAATGAATACTTTGACTTTATACTTTATTGTAAATTGTAGACTATTTTTAAGTGTTATTTATCCCTCCTTTAAACTTTAATTGTTAACATATTGGTTATTGCTTTTTATTTGTGTTTTTCCTAAAGCTTAAATTGAATTTAAAAATTGAGTTTAAAACAAGTTTAAAATGTTTCAAATGTCTTTGATCTTGAGAAACTATTTACCCAAATTACTATGAAAGTGTAGTTTATAGATATTAGGTGTAATTAGGTTAAGTTTCTCTTTTGCTGAAATTTAGCAGTAGTACATACATGTTTACTTTAAGATCCATCACAGACAACTGCCTAAAGAAAGTCTGTAATGTGGAATTTTAGCATACTTTCCTTCCCCTCAAACAAAACAAAAAAACCTAAAACAATAACAACAAATAAAACCAAAACCCCAGCTCAGCCATCAGCAACTCTTTCTGCCTTTCTTTAAAACCCTCTAAGGAGATAGTTTGAGGTTTTCCTTTCTCTCATTAGTTAGCCACCTCTGGTTACCCTTTTCTTGTAGTTTAGTAATGATTTGTTTGCTTGTAGGATTTTATTAAGTTCTTAGCTCCTTAAAGGAAGATGTTTTTGTCTCTTTATTTCTTTTCCATCTTTAATTTCTATCTCAGCACTGGCACAAAGTGGGCATTCAAATATATTTGTTCAGCCAGGTGCCAGTGACTCACACCTGTAATCCTAGCTACTTTAGGTAGAGATCAGGAGGATGTGGTTCAAAGCCAGCGCAGGAAAATAGTTCGCAAGACCCTATCTTGGAAAAAACCCTTCACAAAAAAAGGGCTGGTGGAGTGGCTCAAGGTGAAGGCCCTAAGTTCAAGCCCCAGTACCTCAATATATATATATTTGTTGAACAAATAAATCTGAATAGCTCGCGTTGAAAACTGAAGAATGGAAGGGAGGAAGCATTTGCATGGAAGACCTAAAAGTAGAATTCATAAAGTGTTGCTTTATAAGTTGTTCTCCCTTTTTTCCAGGATGGTGGTGGTTAGTCATTTTGAATATGTAAGAATTAAAAATACAGTAAATTTAATGTTTTATTTTACTTTGTAACAAATACAAATTAGGATTAGGATTGGATTGAAACTCTCAAGGCCTTGAAGGAGTTATTAAATTCTTACTGTAAACAGTTGTAAGGAATAAATTTTTATTCAACTGTACTCATTTGTTGGGTGCTTATTGTATGCGAGGCATTCTGAAAGTAAAACAGAGTAGTATCTTATTTTTCACTTAGCAAACTTTCAGTTAGTTCTGAGGAGTCCATTTCTTTTGTTTAGAGCAGTGGTTCTCAACTATGGGTGATATTTGTCTTCCAAAGAGTGCTTGGCATTTCCTAAAGACTGATAGAGTTACTACGGACATCTAGTAGAGAACAGGTCTGCCTCTTGCAACCAGAAATCTGGTTATCTGCCCCAAATATCACTGGTGCCAATCTAGAGAAACTTGGCTTAGATACATAATAACCTATAGGTACACTTTTTCAGTTTGAGGAATCTTGTGTTTTCTAATTAATCTTGTATTAATTATTTACATTTATATCATGTTTTGGTTTATAAATTCTTTACATAATCAAATACAACCATATTCCCAAAGTTGTTTTTAACCATATTTTTTCTAGTTTTCTATTTTGCTCTTTATTTTCCCTAATTCAGTCCCCTGTATTTGGTTTTTAAGTTCTTGTACAATTTTTTATAGTTTCTGAGAAATGTTTCTGAAGTATTATAATATTTCTTAGCAGTTTGAAAATCTATATTTTGAGAAAATATATACTAAAAGCAATAATAAACGATGACAAATCCACACTTTAGCATCCAACTAAAACCTTTTACTCATTTTCTTGTAAGTTAATCTTTGAAATTTTATGTAAAAATTATTACATTCATTTGACAACATTTTGTGTACTTCTTCCATGAAGGATGTGTTGGTTTCTTTGTAAAACTTAAAAATTTTGAAATTTATTTTTTTATGTGAAATATAGCATCTGTGTCCTTGGTGTGAGGTTTTTTTTTTTTTTGTGGTACTGGAGTTTGAACTCAGGCCCTTCACCTTGAGCCCCTCCACCAGCCATTTTTGTGATAGGTATTTTCGAGATAGGGTCTTTGCCCAGGCTGGCTTCGAACTGTGATTGTCCTGATCTCTGCCTCCTGAGTAGCAAGGATTACAGGTATGAGCCACCGGTTCTCAGCTGTGTGGTATCTTTGTTGTGTATTTGTCTGTACAGCTGTTTTAATTTCTGTTACAGTACAATTAGGAAAATAATCCTAAACTGTAGGACTTACTGGTTGTTGGTTTTTCTTTCTCTTTTAGTTTTAAGGGACAGTTTATTAATTGATTTTACCAGTTGAGATTCTTTTTTATTTACAAAAAGGTAATAGGCCTTTTGAATAATAGTAGTGAAAACAGTTGGATAAGTGAAACTGTTGTATCCTCAGAATATATAGCTTGGTGGTAGGCATTTTAAAGACAGTAAACATTTGTTAGATACACCAAAAATAAATTTTTAAAATTTTTGTGTAGGGAGTTTAAGTGAAAATGAGCCAATTGCCTTATGTGATATTTAGAATCTTAGGCTCTTTTTTTGGTGGGACTGGGGTTTGAATTCAGGACTTTGTGCTTACATAGCAGGTGCTCTACTGCTTGAGCTGCTCCACCAGCCCAGTTATTTTGGAGATGGGATTCTTTTTTTTTTTTTTTTTTTGCAGTACAGGGCCTATACCTTGAGCTACTCTACCATCCTAAGCTGACTTCTAACCACAATTCTCCTGATCTCTGCCTCCTGAGTAGCTAGGATTGCAGGCATGAGACACCAGTGCCCAGCTGGAGATGGGATTCTTGAAGTATTTGCCTAGCTAGTCTTGAGCTGTGATCTTCCTGATCTCATTCTCCCAAGTATCTAGGATTACAGCATGAGCCTCCAGTGCCTGGTGAATCTTAGAATCTTATTTGCGGAAAAGACCTTCAGAATCTAGTGTAGATTACATGAAAATGTCTCTGAGACCATCACTGAAAGAGGGGATGGGGCAACAGCTTGAAGAGACCTGAGGGCGTGGAGGTGGCTCATCCTGCTTCTGTCCTTCCTTCTCTCCCTCCCTTCCAGATACCTCTTCATGGACAGCTTAGCTCTTAGAAAACACAAACAAGGGAAAAACAATAGAAAAGCAAACCAGCAGTTGGAAAATGATCCATTCATTGTTATATTTTACAAATGAGGACATGGCAGTCTAGAGAAACTTAGTGAAATAAATGTTTGTTAATGGCAGTGTTAGAATGAGCATTTAGGCCTTTTCCAAAAGGCAAAAGTGATTTTATGCAGTGGCTGTTTTAAATAATTGGAAAGTATATTTTTTGTACTGTAATTTCTGTTGCTTCCCATTTCTCATTTTGAAGGTTAATGGCTGCTGTCTGTTTGAGTATGATTTATGAGTTTTATCTATGTATCATTTTTGTTTCCAACTGGTCAATAATTAGGTGTTGGTTTGAGGCACTTAAAATTTTTCTTTTGCTGTCATATAGCATTTCATTTGCATTATTCCATTAATGCTTTTGAAAAGAACAGTCAAAGTGATGTATTACCTGCTGTTGTGAATATACAACATTTATTTTGTAATGTTTTATTAATCTATGTGCTGCATATTTGAGAGTATTGCATAAAGCAAATAAAATAAAAACTTAAAATTGCCTTTCTATGCCAAATGAAATAGAACATTGTAATGTACATTGTACATTGTAATGTTCTATTTCATCACGAGCTATTGGAATTATTTTGAAAATTATGCTTATATATGACCCCTATAGTATTGTGTAGAAAACAGTTAAAAATCCTCCTAAAGTCAATTTTATGGCATTCTCTGTATGAATCACAGATGGCGCTTATTTCTCTGGCATGTCAATGATGTTTATTTTTAAAGGTTTTTTTCCCCTCCACCTACAAAGTATCTCCCTCTTCTAAGATGTTATCTGTTCTTTACTTTCTAGCTTCTGTGTGGCATTCTGATAGTTCTGAATGTTTGTTATTAAGAGCTCTGATTGTGTTGGTGAAGCTTGTAGACACTAAATTTTAATATAGAGTGATTTATGTATGCAGGTTTATCAAGAAGATCTCTTTAAATCTTTTTCTTGTCAGATTTTTCAGAGAAGTGCCCTCAAATATTGCACAGAAGGTAATAATGGTCTGGTTGCCAGTACTCTGTGAACTCAATGGGAGATGGGCCTAGGGGCTTCTCATCAAATAAGCACACTGTGGTTTTCATCTTAGGTCCTCCTTAGATAAGAACCTTCCCACCAGAGTTCTGTTGCAGGGTTGGAGAGGCAATTTTCATTCCATCCTCCTTCCATCCTTCCTACCTCCCCACCTGCAGTTACTGATGGAGCAGATGCTGCTGGATTCTTTTCCCATTTAAAAATCCCTCCCTTCCTCCCTTTCCTTTTTCCCTTCTCTCTCAACCTCATTCCTTCCTTCCTTTCCTCCCTCCCTTGGGTTTGAATTAGTTTTACTGTTTTATCTAAGAACCAACTTTTGATTTTGTTGTTTCTTTTCTCCCTTCCCTTTGCTTTCTGTTTCATTCTTTCCCCTTTACTATTCCTTATTGTCTTTTGTTTGAATTTTCTTTGTTCCTTTTTTTGGATGCTTAGTTTTTGATTTCTTAAACATATGCGTGTAAAGCTTCCAAATACTGCTTTGGTTGTATCTGACATTTTTTTCTATATAGTTTAGATCCTAAACTTTTAAATTATTCTGTTAGGATTTTTAACAACCTTTGAATTTTTAACCCATAGTGTTTTAAAATGTTTACATGTCTGTAGTTTTGATTATCTTTTACATTTGGTGTCTAGTTTTATTTGCTGTGTGACAAGTGATTGTGGTCTGGTTCAAATGTCAGTTCTTAAAGTAGTTGCTGAAATTTACCTTGTATCCTAGTATTTAGCTAATTTTTTAAATAAATGTTCTAAATACATTTA